AAAGCTTATTCCTAAATTTCCCTCAATCCTCTTTAGTATTTGGCAGCTGATTTTATAGAAGTGGAACTGATAACGTAGAACATTTTCCCACAACTTTTCGACGGGTAATGGCTTCTTTACACAATTATACTGCGCCAAAAAAAGTTTTAGAGTTCAAAAGCAAATACAATTCCATTCAAAAACACTTTATTAGTCCCAAAGGGAAATTAAATGCTGTATTTTCAGACAGGTGTTGTAGGTGTTGATAGCTGTAGGCAGGAAGGATCTTCTGTAGCGGTCTGTCCTGCACCGGATCTGGAGAAGCCTCTGACTAAAGAAACTCTAGGATGCTCAGTATTGTCCATAATCTTTTTCACTTTATAAAGAATTCTTCTTTGTGAATGAATCATCAGAGATTCTACATGAGTTCCTACTTTAGAACCGAGTCTCCATTCTTTATCAGCTTTTTTAAGTAATTTGCTCTGTTACACTCTCCACAACAGACCTACTGTTAGAAATATTTTATTTATACTCCGTTTGTGATTCATGGGTTGTGTTCTAATGAACTATTATGATGTATAATGTGTGATTTATTTTTTTAACTCTTGCTTAAGATTGTTCCAGATAAAAGGTCATGCAACGGACGGGTTGTGAAGGAGGCCTGAACATCCTCTATCACATGTTTCTTCTAAACAGGTGTTCTTGGAACAATTCAATTGTAAAACAACCACATGCTTTGTTTTAACATATGTGCTGAGGTTTAAAGTAAGATCCTTTTGTTTCCCTTTCCTTTTAGTTAAACCTCAGCTGGTGTAATTAGGGACATCCCCAGACTTTAATAAATAGCGAGGAGAAAGCTGAAGACTGCAGAGTGGGGTGGAGATTGTAAACTCTGCAGTCTCCTTCCTACTCTCCTCGCGAGTAACTAAATTAATTTTCTCTGTGCTTTCTTTCTTTCCATGTATGTATGTATGATGTTTTAGGTGCTTAGACTTGACACCTACAGAAGATATGTAGCATCTTGCTGCAAATGCAGAAGGACCAAAGCTTCCTTAGAAAGGCCAGTCTGCTCTGTCCCTTCTTCTAGATGGCTTTACAGTTGCATCTCCAGTCCAGTTAGCTGTCCAGGTGGACACCAAGGTATTTCTATTCCTCCACTATCTCCACTTCTTCTCACACAACATTAACTGAACTCAACTTTTTCCTGTTTCTTTGGAAATCTACAATAATCTCCCTTTGTTTTGTTCCAATTCAAGATAAGATGATTGTTTCCACACCAATGCCACAAAGCGGTTCACCAGCTGCCTGTACTCAGAGAGCTGATGACCATATTTGATGCACCTATTGGAATTTACTTCATAATCTGAACTCAACTCAATGTTTCGTTGCCTTCAAGTTAGAAACATTCATAGTTCTAAATGTTAAAATGTTACAGTGATTTACATGTCCTCATCATGACCTTGAAGTAATATGAATGATTTATTTGTACAAATATTTTATCAGAATAATGTGCTCCCTCATAAACTTATAAAAAAATAAAATGGCTAAAAAAGGTTTTTACAGCAACAAAAGTTTTAGATATAAGAACCACAAATATTTATTGTGCATCATTATTATTATTTGGATTATATATAATAGACTAGTGTAGCACATGCATGTGAAGGGGAAGAAAATAAAAATCAGATTTTTAGGTTAAACTCAACAGTGTAGAAACACTAGAACCCAACAAACAAAAACGGCCAAAAAAAGAACTGAAAAACTGAGAGAAGTGTGGGGAATGACATCAGATTAAGATTTAGGGGTTTGTGTGGATCAGCAGAAGTTAAGCATTGAAACTGAACTACAAAGACTTATTAACATTGATAGAACTGAACTGAGATATCCACACATCCATTCACTTTCCATCATGCTTATCCCTTCTGGGGTTGCGAGGGGTGTTGGTGAAGAGAGGCGGCGTCCACCCTGGACAGGTCGCCAGGCTATCAGAGGGACAAACAACTATTCATGCACACAATCACACCTAAGGAGAATTTAGAGAAGCCAATCAATTAGCCAATTAACAGTCATGTTTTTGGACTGTGGGAGGGAGCTGGAGTACCCAGAGAGAGCCCACACCTGCCCAAGGACAACATACAAACTCCATGCAGAAAGACCCCAAAACTTCTTGCAGCAAGGCAGCAGTGCAACTCCATTGGTGGCAATTTTGAAAATTGGTTGTGGGGCAGGGATGTGCTTATAGGGTAAGTTACACGTTAAGCTGCATTTTCGATTGGCCATTCCAGTTTTGCACATCTCTACTCAGCTTATTCTATCTACTCAGCACAAAACTCCTGCGCTTCAATTCATTAATTGTTTTTTATAAGTGAAAAGATTTGCAAGGGATAATTACAGATAACAGATTAGCCTCAACTCTGATCACAAACCCACCCGAACTTATGAGATACAGTTGCTCTCTGCCAGCTCCCTGTCTGCACATGGTTTAGACTGAATGGTATTGTTGAAGCAGTGGAGATGCAACTGTGAGGCGTGTCCTCCACGGCGCCTGTCTGTTTCAGGCTGGAGGAGTTTTACTTGCTTAAAAAGCCTCTAATCATCAAGGGATCACGTTCAGTTTTAGCCTCGTGAGACCATCCTGATCTTGTGAGCTTTCAAGATTTCATTCGCTAATCAGTCTGGAGACTCTCCATTGAAGAAAATTTGGAGCCGTTCACCAAACGAACGTCCAATCAGCGTTGGCTTTGAGGCGGGTTGAGGTGTGACGCAACGAGAAGCGCGACAGTTCAGT